GGCAAATGGCTGTTATATTCACCAAATATGTGGCTGCTCTGATCAAACCGGCTGCCATGGTTACCTTGTTCAACCTCAAAGCCGACTGCTTGGTTGTTTGTTTGATTAATAGAATCGGCAGCTGAATGAAATAGGCCAAGAGCTTGGTTATTCATTCTCAAATAGCCTACTCTTCCCATTTGTTATTTTTCATATTTATGACAAAGCTTTGGAAGAGCAATATCTTATTTACAGCTTATACATGCGGCATTAATATCCATGTAAGCCGCATGTAATAGCATGAATTAATGTTACAGCCGGCCTTGGTAATCAACAAGCTAGTATTACTTTATTCATCCTCCATTTGCTACAAGCTGGTATTAGGATGGATGATGGGAAAGCCGCATGTACAAGCTGGTAACATTTTATTCATCTTCCATCTACTATACACGCGGCAATAGTGTGAAATAAGCTAGGAGGCAAGCGGTTTATTAGAGTTATTTAATAATCTGTTGCTAATTAAAAAGCGTGAGCCTACAATTATGTTGGGTTGTCATCAAAATTAAGTTCGGCTGTGGTGGTAGCTTTGTCTATCAATCAAGCCGGCTGCGGGGCTGCTGCCTGCCTCTATTAAGCACGGCTATTTTCTGCCTCTATTAAGCAGCTGCCATGTCTGCTCCGTTCTTATATCAAAGTCGGCTGCAATGACTCAACCCGGCTGAGTGGTTGCTTTGCTGATCCATGAAGCCCAGCTGCACCTATCCGAATGTGTGGGTGCTTCGTTCATCAGTTCACTCGGAGCTTGGTTTATTCGAGTAGTTGACAAACAGTATGATGTCTCATGTATGAATATTTGAGCTAGGTGGCAATTAAATATTAAAATACAAATCACCAAATGATCTAAGAAAGGAACATTTGGTAATAACTGGGATCACATTTCCTTTGAGGGGCCGCATGTTAATCCGGGGCAACCGAGCGTTCTAAATAGCTTGGCGCATTAATATACATGCACAAGTATATATCAAGTGAGCTCAACCATCAAACCCAAACATGGTGATTTTTTATTATTGTAATTATTATTATTAAATTTTGATTCATTGATTGAATAAACTAAGTTAAAAACTTAGTAGCTAAACTAACGTCCAAGTGACGTGAGGCCAATGGCCGGATGATCAACTAAGTTTAAAACTTAGTAGCTAAACTAACGTCCAAGTGACATGAGGCCAATGGCCGGATATTATTATTATTAGAGGCCGATGGCCACAGTCTGCTCCAACATGAGTATGACCGTCTGCTCCAACATAAGTCAGATAATCGGCGACGTCCATTCGGGTGAATTCGTCGAGGAGAAGCGTCTCCCATTTGGGTGGCACATTACTCTACTAAAACATCGAGCGGCCCTACCGAATGCTAAGGCAGCACTCGCAGTTGTTTGATTTAATCTAAAGTGAAATCTAAAAAGCATAAAGTTTTCCAACTGTTCCAGTACAAATGGAAAACGGCTACTGTTTCATGATTAGAGGCTATCGAGGCCAATGGTCGGATGATAAACTAAGCTAAAAACTTAGTGGCTATACAAACCGTCTTAAAAAGACATGAGGCTAATGGCCAGATGGTTATCTGTTTTCTATAAATTTGTCTGCTCCAACATGAGTAAGGTCGTTTTCCCCAACATGAGTCAGATAACCGGCGACGTCCATTTGGGCAAATTCGTCGAGGAAAAGCATCTCCCATTTGGGTGGCACATTTCTCTACGAATACATGCAGACGGCAAAGATTGAACGACCTAATTGGTCAACTCATAATCGCCTGACCTGGGTAATCTAAAGAACGACTAAGTTTTCGGGAACCGAATGTCTAAAAGACATCAGTAGGTGACCGGCCGAAGTTCTTACCTAGATTACCTTCAAAAATTATACAAGTCCTCCCAATGGGGTAAAAGGACATTGAAAGTATAATTACAAAACTTTCCAGGCGGCCATTTGCCTCCTGTCTTGTCAGGCGGCCATTCGCCTCCTGCCTTATGAGATATCAAACGTCTCGAAAATATCCTACCGTAGTGGGGCATAAAGAAATGAAAGTCGTCATCTGTCTAGTTCAAGCAGCAATCATTATTATGATTGATTAACTTAGAAAATGTCATACCATATAAGGTATCAAATTTTCCAAGTTAATCAAATCTCTCTTTTATTGACCTAGATACATGCCGACCAAAGAGCTTTTGAACAAGCGGCAAAGCCTTGATTTCGAAAGGAGAAATTCCTCTTGAAAGAGAAATTACCCCTTCCGAGGGGCTAATGTTTGGGGTAAAATTACCCTCTATATGTGGACCAATGCCACCGCGACACGTGTCCGCAAGCTCAGCTCTCTTTGAGCCAATTAGAGCATGACACGTGTCACTCGATGATAGAAGAGTGATAATGGGCTCTAAGCCCATAAACCTAGAGCCTTTTAGGTTAAATGACCTAAAAGGCACATATCCCAATGCTCTATAAATACTGATCATTACATCAGTTTTAGGGGATCTAATTCTCCCACCAAGGGCCATGCCCCCCACAATCACTCTCCCTTCTCTCTATTTTCTCTCTCTAAAAATACATTATATCGATCACTGACTTGATCGTCGAAGGCGGACCTCCGGCCCCCGCGGGGTCCGTTGTTTTGCAGGTGTCCGGGCCGTTCGAGTGTTGCATTGCGGATCTGTCTCCCGAGGGACGTACACGCCCTCCATTCGGGTACGTACAAAAAACCCCAAAAGAAGTATCATGCCTAGGATCTTGTTATTCTTATGCTTTAACATGATTATTTTATCATTATTATTATTTTTATTTTTAATTATGATGATTATTTATTATGTTGCTTGATTTTTATTGTTATTGATTGATCACACCTTTTATGCATGTTTAAAGGGAATTTGTACTTGTAATCACGCTTAATAAGATAATTAATAATCTTATTTAGGGTTAAATTGATTATAATTCAAGTGATCGCCTATTGATTGCATTAATATTCAACCAACATAGATTAAACAGGTTTAGGGTAAACCTATTGATTGCATGTTAGCTAGAAAGAGCACATGAGTACGATCTGAATAAAGTAGAGGCCTATTATTAGGGTAGGTTCAATCTCTTTTAGGTTGGATTTGTACCTTCATCCCCGAACCCTTTTTGGTTCAAGACCTTATGGAGTTGACGATCTCTTGGATCGTTAAGGGGTGTAACCTTCACCTCGTGAACGGTTTACAAGTTCCTAAAAAAACTTGTTGGCGACTCTTTTGCTCTATCTTCTTTCCCTTTGGACACCTCCATACTTTAGTGTATGATCACAGTGGGGTTCAAGCTGAGGGATTAATGCTTGAAATATTCCCTACACTATCTAATCTATAATTTATTCGAAATTTCCCAATAAACAACCAAAAATTCAGAAAAATTAGGGTAAAATTATATTCAAACCTTAACTTTAATTTTCTTCACAATTGTTCAAAATGCAATTGAAAATAGTATAAGTACATATTTCAAAATAATTGTTCAACTTTTAACAAAAAAAATTAAAACTTACCCTAGTTGGAGGTGGAAAGGGAGGAGAGATTGAGGGCAGATGTGAAAGGAATAGTGTCCTTCGAACAAGTGTATTATTCTGATAGCGGGTTCAGAATTATTAGAAAGCTAATATATTCAGTAAGGTTAAGTGATCGGAATGCCTGGGTGGAGGCCGCTTCCGATCAGTAATATTAATATAATTAATATTACAGCTTAATCTTGACTGAACCCTTTGGGTCACACCCAAGCAAATATATCCGAACCAACTCGACGAATTAATTCGGAATAAATTAATTTGTCGCCCGAGTGTTAAATAATTAGACGTCGGTAATTTGAGCTTAGAGCGTCGAAACCGATCGTCGGAAGTCGAGTCTAAATAATAAAAGACGAGACGCGCAAAATAATAATAAATCAACAATATTCCCGAAAATACCCCTAGCATCGGACTGCCCCGAGCATCCGAATGCTAGGGGCAAGACAAGCCGGCGCACCGTGCTGCAGCCACGGCCAGCCGCGGCTAGGCATAGTAGCAGCCGCGCCGAGCCACGGTCGCAGCCGCACCATGCCACAGCAGCAGCCGCGCCACATCAGCAGCTGGTGCGGGCCAGGTGTGGGCTGGGTGCGGGCCAGATACGGGCCGGGCTCGGACCGGGCTCGGACTTTTCTCGTGGCATGGCTCGGGCCATAGGGCCGTGTATAAGGGGAAGGTTGGGATCAAGTGGGTTGCCATGTGGCAGAAGGTGAGGGAGAGAGTGGGGAGCAAGTTTGGTCCCCATCTCCAAGTGGTCCTCACCTACTCTCTCATGTATGCTTGACACTTGTTGATTTATTACTAGTTTGCATAATAATTTTATTTTAGCTTTAAAATAAAATGAGAAAAATCTCATTGTCCCACATTGATGGGAGATATTTTCATACTCCATCATTCCCTATAAATACCCAAATTTGGGCATTGGAAATGATGCTTGAGTGGGAGTTAAAAAGAGCATTCCATAATATTGGAAAAACTCTTAAACTCATATAACACTCGGGTTTGGGTCGGACCTCGCTAACCCCCAGGTAGTAGACCTTAAAGTTGTGTTCGTCCTTTTGTGGGTGGATACCGTTGGAGGCGCAGCGCTTGACGTGCTCGTAGCTTTCAAGTAAGAGCCCCGGTTTTTGGGCGAAGCTCGCTTTGAGGGTAAGATTCGTTATCTTTTCTTAGTAATTATTTATTTGTGCTTTATGATTTTAATTATTGCGAGTGGTTCCTTGGGTCGGGGTTTGTTTCCGCGGTGAGTCAGACTCACCAAACCCCAACAGCGGTATCGGAGCCCCGCTCGTTTATTTTTATAATAATGTTTTTCAAGGTTTATTTTGGCTTAATTTTCTAGTTTAAGTTTCTATTAGATTAGTAGCTCGGTTTTATTTATTTTTATCCCGTTTTTAATGTCGATTTTGGCCCAGAACCCAGATTTTCGCCCAATACTAGTGAATTTTGGGTGGAAAATGTGTTATGGAAAGGTTTTTTTTATCCCCAAAGGGATATGTGATTTTAGCCAAATTCTGACCAGAAATGCCTTTTTCGAGGGGTTTTTCGTTTTTGACGAAAAATTTTAAGTCTTTTCTAACCTTGAAATTAATGGCATAAATTGTTGATTATATGGTTGATTATTTGCATTATTTTCTGCAATTTTATGTCCCCTTAAAGCACACTTACTTGGTAGTATTTGATGCTTAAAGGTTGATTTATTTTCACATAATTGCAAACTAATTGCTTTTTAGTGTGAAAGTTTTAAATTTGAGGCTTCCATAAGTGTTAAAGATTCAATCTTTATTTGTGATAAGTGATTGAAACTTTAAAAACCACTAAATTCCATGTTATTTTGTGTTAAACTTTGATGTTTTAATCAATTTGAGTTGATTGGAAACATAAAGTTTCGATTTTTGTGATAGAAATTTGGTTATCTTCATGTTGGAAGATATAATTTTCAAGGATTCACAAAATTTAGATGTTGGAATTTTCATTTGAACATTAAAGTTCATATTTTTCCAACTTCCCTTTACTTTGTCAAATTCTCAAGTTTAATTTAAATTGATTAAATTGAAAGTGAGAAATTGCCTCAATTTTATGTTGCTTTGTAAAACCAATTTAATTAAGAATGGTTCTTGGAATTATTTTGGTTATTTGCACTTTGAAAATTTTATTAAGTTAGACTTGTTTAAAATTTTATTTTGCTCTCTAAATTAGTTCTAAAATTAATTTAGAATTAATTATTGTTGTCTCGCGAAAAGGGATCAAATCCCGAGGTCGTGGCACGCAAAACGAGGCAATGCATCACCTTGGCGAGTCGGGCTGCATAGCAGCCCATATGTGGCTGCCAAGGTGGCAGCAACACCTTACTTGCGGCCACACGCGCGGCAGCAGCCACGCAAGGCAGCAGCACACGCGCGGCAGCAGGTGCGGGCTGCAGCAGCCACGCGTGGCTGTGCCGTGGCAGCAGCTCGCGGCCGTGTGCCGTGGGCCGTGTGTTCGTGGTCTTGGCGTGTGTGTATACTTGGTGCGGTGAGGTGGCTAGCCATAGTAGGCTTGATGTTGCTTTTTTGCCGTTTTACTTACTTTAATTAACTTTGTTTATTTTAATTAAAATTTTGGGAGGCTAGGCCTCGGTTTTGAGCGGCATTGGCAAAATTTCATTTTGACAAGTTTGGGTGCTACCGACTTAATTAATTGGATTAATTAAGGAAATGCGGAATTTAGTGGGAGCTTCAATTATTAATGACGTAATTTATATAATCAGTTAAACAACTTTGACTAGTTTTAATTAGGCGTGTTAATCGGATTAACCACCTAGATAAGTTACTAGTGCGCGCGTTGTTCAAATGCATTTTACTTTGTTTTAATTTGTAAATTGCATGGGCCATTCACAAATAGTGAATGGATGAATGGAATATATGTATATATTCTCTCTCACAGGTTTTATGAAATGGCAACTAGTGGGACCCGACTAGGATAGAAAATACGGACTACGTGTCGTTATGTATTTTTGTAAATCTAAATACGGTCTACGCACCGTTAAGTATTTTTGTACTTTAATATTTAGATCTTTCCTAGTTGTAGACACTAGTTTTTGCATAGTTTGGTTAAGTCTTGAAGACGGCGTATCTTGGAAGACAAAGCCTCGAATTGCAAATGAAGACCTTTTGAAGATATGAAGATCTCAAGGGGTCATGCTAGTTGCCAATATGCATCTATAATTTCGCTTTATATTTTATGCTTATATATATATGTGTGAATTATCCGTTAGATGCATGTTTAGGTTTTCTTAATGTTGCGATGATTAGTTAAGTTCACTTAAATCAACCAACATAGAAATCCTAGGTCCCTAATAATATTGAGTCAAACTTGCCTTTCCAAACAACACTTATTAACCGAACGAGAGTGATTGTAGGCTACGCCAAAGCGAGGTGCCATCACTTCTCCAAGGGGCATAAGGCACACCGGGTGTGCACGTTGGTTTTTGTTTAACTCATCGGTATGGGTGAGGAGTCCTCACATACCGTGGCAAAAGAGATACATCGTCAAAGATGCATTAGATGCGACGATTATCTAACCAAGAGTGGCTTAGAGCCATTAGCAAGGCAATGCTTACCCAAGAAGATTGAGTGTTTAAGACAAGCCAAAGCATGCTTAACCAGTCTTTGTTTCTTCGGATCTTGGAATCACCTTATTTTCGCCAAATAGGGACAATTATTATGCGTAAATAAGATGTTTAATAAGATTGAAGTTTGCATGAATGCTATTAAATTTCAAACTTATTATGTTCTTGATAAATGGTTATACTTAGCACTTATATTTATAGTATTCTAAATCAAATAAAATTGTTTCCATGATTGGTAAAGGAAATCCTTGAGAATAGTTCTCAAACAAAGGAAAATCATTTCTAAAATACAATTCTCATGAATGACTTTTATAATTAAGTCCGAAAGGACGGTTGGACATCATGTATTCAAAATACTAGGTAGTTTTGATAAAACATGAGGTATTGAGTTGCAAACTCAAGATTGTTAATGTTTGACAACCAACGTATCTTTTCGCATCACAATTGAGTAGGACTCATTGATGTAGTAATTCGAGTAAGAATTAATGGAAAAGATGAAACTTTGTTTAAACGGCGCACTAGGTGCTTGATTATGCCTAACAAAGTATAAGAGTCAAGGTACTTAAAGAAATGATTCTTAAAGTAAGATTATGAGATATTGTATGATAAGAAATATAGGAAAGAAGGAACGAAGAAAAGGAATTAGATTTCATTTCAACTCATGAGTTCATGTTATTTACTTAGCAATTCATTATCTTCACAAGTATCGGATACTGCTTGAGTGTTCCACTATGATAGTGACCTCAAACTATTGAAGTTAAGCTAAGTTATCGACTTACAAGCTTAGAATGAAGCAAGAAGAGCTACATCAGTTGTAAGGTCGTATGTTTTGTTTAAAGACCTTTTAAGCCAAAGGCTGGAACAAGAAATGGTTATTATGTTCCGTAATTAGCAACTGATCCGTTTACACACGGAAAGACTCACATTCAAAGTAATGAGCAATAGTTGCGAGATTTATTTGAATGGGGTGGTTATCCAAGCATTGAGTTAAGAATGCTTGATTATAAACAATCATTTCTCTAACATGATAAACTCACTAAGTTCAAGTCATGGGCTTGATTTGCGTTCCAAACGTCTTTAGCAATGTCACATCAACAAGAACGTACTCAAGGCTCTATTAAATAGGCTCTTGATAGTTGATTGAATTGGAATCGTTCTAAGACAAGAAAATCTTACTTGTTGAAACCGACAAAGCAGGGAGCTATTGTTCTTGGTATAGACAATTGACTCCGAAGGCTACAGAGGATTCAATTACTTCAATGTTTCACAAAGAATTTGAAAGGATATGGCTATTTCATCAAATGTGAAAAAACTTGACTTGAGTAGCTCAAGAGTTCGGTGAAGTACAGAATCGACTTGGCAAGATATCAAAATGTCTAGATTAGATCGAGTGATGTTTGCTTCAACCAAGCGTGACTATCTCAAAGTTATGAATGGAAATTTTCATAAATAACTCCACAAAGAACATAGTGTGTCTTCACGGAGACCTCGGTGTCATTTGGAAATGACTCGAACAATGATGGTTCACAACCCTTCCTATAAAGTTCTTAAAGATTTGCACAAATGACTAATGTTACACTAAACAATGTGTTGAAGCTAAGAAAAGACGCCATATTCAGTTATGGATAGAAATAACTTCTAAAAGTCTTTTCAAGTATATGTCTAAGGCTCTTAGCCTCAGTAGGAGTTCACTAGCTCAGTGGGAGCAAAGTGGCTCAGTGGGAGCTAGGTGACTCAGTGGGAGCTGAATAGCTCAATAAAGACTAAGATAGCTCAAGTAGGAGCTAGCTGTTTGTTTCACAACGAACTTTTACCAAAAGACAATATACATGTCTCTATGTAAGCATTCAAGTGAGACTATGGGTATTACCTCCACATCCTAATTGAGAACAAAAAATTGTTTGTTGCTCTAAGTATTGTCTTTCTTGAAAGTAACACGTTTCCAAAACGACAAGTGGGAGGAAAATGAACTCGATGACCATCGATCTTAGCAACAAACTAGAACTGAGAATATCGAAAGACCTTAAAGGACTTCGTGATAATACTTAATCAAGAATACTCAAAAGGACTTTACAAGTGCCTTAAAAGAGAATTCATTACTCACAAAACATTAAAGATGTTGGAGTAAGATCAATATAATAAAAGGGCTTTGAAAGCGCCTTAAAACTCAGTGTTTGATGCAATTGCCCCGTATAGGTATAGAATTCACCAAAGGCTTGGATTGAATACTATAAATTTTCTATTAAGTTAGAAACAAACCTAAGACTTACAAGAATACTATTTACTATTAGATAGTAAAGGAATAATGTCTTGTAAGATGGCTACGACAAATCCAAATTCCGAATAATGGTTAAAAGCCATGAAAATCCGAAATAGACTCCATGTTTGAAAATCATGTTTGAAACTTGATTAATTTGCATGAAAGTTGAAAGACCCATCGATTGCAAATAAGTTTTCAAGGAGAAAACTAACAAATGTGGAAATGTATATGCATACATAGCTAGATTGGTTGTAAAGGATATAATTAATTTCAAGCAGTTGATTTTAATAAAATCCCATTCACCAATCGAAATGCTCAAGTCTTTTCGTGATTGATCTAGCAAAATTGCGCATATGAAATATGGCAAAATAGATACCAAAACCGCCTTCCCAAAATGGAATTTTGGAACTGACTATGGAATAGTCTAAGGGTTTTGAAAATCTAAATAATGCTAGATTTGAAAGCAAGCACATGGAATCCGTCATGGGATTAAAGGAAGCATTGCATGAAGGAATTGGAACGTGTTTTCTCATAAAGTTAATAAGAGGATTGACTTATGGAGAAACATAAAAAAATTCTGATGAACAAGAAGTTTAGTGGGAGCAAAAGTAATGGTCCAACAAGAAGTTTACGAACTCTATTGTGAAACAACCATCAAATGCTAAATGTTTAGATTTGAAAGTATCTTCGATAATGGACCGAGCTAAAGACGATAATTAGTACATGTTGGGAATTAAGTTCTATGGTATAGACTTAATTAAATGTTTAAATGAGTAAAAGAAATTACCATGTTAAACATGAAAGACTTTGAAAGGCTTTCGACCCATATGTATGAAGCTAAGTAAATGTTTGAACTAAGTATAAGCTAGGCTAAGTACTAAATCAAACAAGAAAGACTCTAGTAAGAGACTTTCAATCATATCATACAGCGAACAATTTTGCAAGACTCAGTGTAACTGTATGAGCTAAATGTCACATGGATGGAATAAAATTGAGAATCATTCTAGAATTAAATCCATCATGTAAGGCTATGATATGGAATCGTCAGATGACTTACATGCTTAGAGCATGTGAAGTACGTATATAATACCAATCGACATTAATCTAAGTATTAGATCATTAGATTATAGTCAAGAACATCCAAAGAACTTAGATAAGTAGTTGGATGAGTTCTTGACGCATGGAAAAAGATATTATTTGAGTTTTGATGTTGCAAGCACAAACCTTAACAAGGATTAGATCCTTAGCAAGTAATCCATTTATAAGCACGAGGCAAGAAGTGTCGTGGCTTGAGAATGGTAACATGGATGTGCATCCATGTATAATGTGCGGGAATTTAAGGAAAATTTCCATGATCACAAGTGATTAGGGTATCCCAAATCGTTGTGAGTCGCTTGGAGTAAAACCCAAGCAAGGCATCATCGGGGAGTCTACTAAAATATATGTTGAGAATATTGTTGCCTTAAAGGCAATAATAAGATAGATGTTAAATGGAAAGGTTCGTTTTTGAACATTAATGATTGTAGGTTGTCAAGTAGAAGGTCTCAAATCATGAAAATGAGTGGGAGCCATTGCTTGGACAATAAATCCTGAATCACATGTAATCCATTAACACTCTCAAAATTTTATCATCTTATTATGGAAATGGTGGATAATGAAGATGCTAAGGTTTGCAAAGTAATTTTTACTAAACCTTTGCCTCAAGTGAAGCACAACAAACACATTGAGGCAATGGGAATCAAGCATGTCATGAACTGGCTTTGAATTCCATTTTATAGTGTTTTAATCAAATTCTGGACAATGTTGATGTAAAGCACTATGATCAACCATTCAGTTTTGGAGTAATTAAAATTTTCATGCAATTTAAATCACTCCGTCTCTATTTAATTGTGGTTTAGAATTAAATAATGAGTCCATTCGATTTTAATAAATATTCAAAATAGGGTATCAAGTCAATGGCTTTGATAAAGAAACACTTATTAAGTGAACATTGAATATTTTAATCGAAAATTATCCCTAATCAAGGTCATATTTTGTGGACGATTGATGACCATCAGAGATTAGTGTGTAGTATGATTTATTGCACCGTTTCTTGTGCTATGAGGATATAAATCATTTGCACAGATATTGGTTTAGAACCATACTGGATCGACCTATGAGGATACTTTAAGAGATTTAAAATCGTCATAAGTATTTTCTCATTATTACTATCGGAACTCTTTTCCTTTGACCATGAGTAGTGGGAGATCTCTTGTTTGAGTACTGATCCGCTTTGGTATCCGCCAAACGTTCGCCGTAACTGGGGATTATAAAGACATATATTGGGCGGGTGAGTCCTCTTAGTAAGAGAAACTACATTACAAGACTGGAAATGTCCCCCTACTAACAATAGGGAACATGTCTTGTTGTTTACAAGGCCTCTCGAAGAGCGAGACTGTGAAAAATGCATGGTCGTGCTCAGATGGATTTTAGAAATCATCTGCTTATTGACAAGTAAACTCGGATTTCGAGAAACACTTCTGGACGTAACAGAGATGACTAGTAATCTTACTCTGTAGTTCATGAAGAGACATGAAGAGACATAGGATAAGGGCTATACACTAAATGCACACTTGTCCGGAAGGACA